GAGAAATGTCCAAAACTATTCTGTAACCTCTAAGTAGGTAATTTAGGCACACCTGATTGCTTCTGTGGTAGGTATTTTCATTATCAGAGGGGGCTAGAGTCACAATGTAATGTTCATAAAGTGAACAAATGTAAGTAAAAGGTAAAGTCTCTTTTCCAACATTTATCATCACGCAGCATATTCTTCATAGAACATTGCTCCAATCACAGAATACCTGATAGAAACTTGGTCCCTTGCCAGATTTCATGTATCATGCACTTTCCTGCACACTATGTCCCTAATATGTCCTGTGCTCATCTTCATGCTGGTCAGCCCCTGACACTCCTATCTGGTACTATGATCTCTACTAATCTTCTTTCCAACCCATCATGGCATTGATATGGTTAAAGTATTATTTCTGGCTTCAGGCCTCATCTCTACTACCTTACTTGCTCTGTCATAGTTCTCTTACCCAATTTATGTTTTTAATTTTCTTCTCCGATGTGTTTTTTATTCATTGTTTCTGAAATTCTTTACTTATCAAAAGAAAAGATTATTTATTGATTCTCTCTGTGAAAAGTACTATTGGTATTCAGGCTCATGAAAAATTCCCTGAAGAGTGGAAATTCCAATCAAAATTGTTTTTTATAACTATTGTCACATCTCTTAAAATGCAAACATTAGATAGGCAGCTTCTTTTGTTGATTTGCTTAATTTCAGGAAGATTATTAGACAAACTTTCGGGGTAAGATGCAGTGGCCAATTTGCCAAATAAGACAGAAATTTATGCATTATTTATGGTTAATTTGATGCAAAAATAAAAATGGAAGTCAATTTTTTTATAAGTAGCTGTATGCATCTCAGCTGAAACCATCTAGACAATATGTTCAACAGTGTGCTGCGGATTTGATGTATTTAATGTCATCATGGCAGAACACTGTGTTGATTTTGATCGGACAAGTAAGACCTGCAGAGGTAAGCGAGGACAAAACAACAGAAAGGGCAGGATGGAAGGAGCCAGAAGAACTTGTCTCACATTTGTTCGTGTAGGCCTCAACAACCTTCAAAATTTGTACTGGAACTGTGCAAGATTCAGACAATGTGAAGCCATTCTAAATAACCTTGCCTACAGATCAGACATTGTGGCCCTGCAGGAGACAAGCCTTGGCGATGGAGTGATACGTGAAGCTGAATACGAGTGTTTTTATAACAGACGCCATATGGGGCTGGCCATGCTTGTATTATTGATATATGTGCATGTAATGGATGAATAGATTCCAAGACATGGCTGTGTTTGAATGAAATTATCTCCCAAGAGGGAAACACCATTTTCTGTGGAGATTTTAATGCTAAAGGCAAGCCATGTGGAAACTGTTCTTGCAACATTTAAGGAGAGAAACTTGAAGATGTGCTCGAGTATTCTAACCTTGTGTGCATCAACAATGGTTGTGTCACCAGACTGGCAAGCCACCATGGGATGAAGACAGTGCAACTGACCTGACACTGATATCACCTCTGTTCACGTCCGTTTGTCGATTGAGTGTCTTAGGGTGGTATGCCAGGAATTATCTTTCTTGCTGCACACTGGTGAAAAAAGGCAGGTTGAGGAAACATAAGCCCAAAATGCAATCTTTCAGGTACGCTGTGCAAGATGTCAAGCAGAATCCAGCATAACAAGCGTGAAACAAACAACATTATGAGGAAAACTGATACAACCCTCCTGGTGGAATGATGAGGTGAAGAAAACTTGGATAGATAAGCGGAGAGCCGTCAAACAGTGGGAAAAATTAGAAAAAATGCACAACTGCTCTGCCTGACCATACTGATCTGTTGAAACAAGTCATAGATGAGAAGACTGCCTTTTTTCAGAACTCAGACTAAAATGGTTAAATATTAAAAGTGGGTTGAGTTCTGCATGATGGTTTGTAAAGATAAATCCCAAAAATTGTTCTGGCACTTTCAGAGAGAGCTGTGGGGATACAGGCATCATTGCATATGATTTTCACGAGGGATTCCGCTCAGGGATGGAAACTAGTGCTGCTGCAACTGATCTTGAGGATGGGTAAAAGGTATCATTTGACTTCTTATTTGGTCAACTTCTTGATCTCAGTCTCAGCCTGTTTTTCATTAACTGGATTTCCTCGGCTTCCTTCAAGTGGAATGTGGTGTTTAAATGTAACAGCTGAGCACCTGAACTAATAACTATGCACCCCTGTCTGCCACAAGGTTCACTTTTATCCCGGATATTTTTCAACATTTACACAATGAGAATCACAAGCGGGCAGATTATGGGACCAGAAAGGACACTGTCCTATACTGATGATGTTTTGATGTACCATCAAGGCAGATACCAGAAGCAGATTGCTGACGACCTTTAAACAGAACGTGATGACATAAGCAGGTGGTGTAATGAAAAGGGAGCGGTCCTCAATGTGGTCAAAGTCAACGGCATGGTTTTCACTGAATAACAATTTATAAAACTACCAGCACCAACTGAAAATATGTGTTCAGAGATCATGGAGAGAACTAGTACAGTTAGTATGTAAGAGTGTGTTTTGATCGTAGTCTTGCATGTAAACCATGATAATGAAGGCTGAGGGAGATTTGACAGCGCTAAAGATTATGGCTGCGACAAACTGCGAGCAGCGTCACCTATTTTTCTTATCCATGGTCTGATCATTTCTGTAATTGAGTACGCTCTGGCGATTCTGAATCTTAGCCTAACTCAGATGGAGAGACAAAATAAGATACAGAATGAGGCCATGCACATCATACTTAGATGCACAAAGAATGCAGCATGCAAGGCCATGTGTTACCTCCTTGATCTTCCAACCATGGAAGTGAGAACAGTCGAGCGCGTGCCTTTCTGCATATCAGTGCTGATACACACCATCCACTGCACAGTGAGATTTGCAGGGAAAAAAGTAGCAGGTTAAACAGGAGAAATCCTGGGTGGATCAGGCTGAGGACATTTTTAAAAAGTCTGCTCAACTGAGGACATAGAACATGGAGAGGAATATGTACAAGTGCTAGCAGAGTGGTGTACAACCTATTCAGTCTGCATAAAACTGGGAAGATAATGCAGACAAAGCCCACTGGTTGTTGAGGCAGAAGTTCAAGCCTTAATTCTGGAAAATTCTGCTGAAAGAGATGCAGTTATCTACATCGCCAGATCCGTCATTTGACACATACAAAGTTACTGGGCTTTCACAAATTTGTTTCATTGAGAAATAGTCAAATAAGATAGCGGCGCTTTTGCTTCAACTAAAAGTAGTCTATAGGAGCTAATTACGGTAACAAAAGCAATGATGAGACACAGCATTTTATTCATGCATGCTTTCTTGGTGATTCCATGAGCCTGTTTAGAAAGACAGAGACAAAATGGATTTGAAGAAAATGGTTGGAGTCAATGAGGAAATCTTATCTAACAGGAATCAGTTTCATTTTTGTGCCAGGACACTCTGAGATAATAAGGAATGAATGAGCAGATCGGCTTGTTGGCAGAACAACACCCAAAAGACTAGTTCTTTTTCTTGAACTTTAGGTCAAAAAAGGTGTTGCCAAACATGAATACTATACATGTAGTCTAAAAAAAGAATATTAAACCAAGACCGAACTGATGTTATCAGTCGCTACATGTTGGAGAATATACTGAAGATGGGATCTGAGCACTTATGGACTTGTCTGATGTGTAGTAAGGCTAACTAACTATCAGATAAGAAATATTTCTTAAAACAGTTCCAATGTGATGGCTGCTAAGAGCAAGTAGGGTAAAGGGAGATGAGCCTAGTTTACTCCAAACTGCTTGCTGCATGCAAACCCCTAAGACTAAACTATTAGACAGCCACTGTTATCTTAACAAATACAGACTTAAAAAAAAAAAGGTTTATAAAAATACTGTAAGTTCTCCTTATTTTTTTGGTCTGAAATGGCTGGCTGAATGGTTAGTAGAGGCGGGCTCTCCTATGGGAGGCCCAGATTCAAATCACTGGTAATTTTGTTGACTTTTCTGTTTGGGGTAAATTAAATTCAAAACCCACAGTCCATGGACCCTTCTCCTTACATACTCTGCAGAAGTGTTAAATAAGGAGGTAATAGCAGATATTACTTTAAATCTGAAACTCTATTTGTTTTGTGGCTTGAGAAAGTAATAACAAACAAAATATACAAAATAAAAAGTACACTGCAGTCTATAAAATATTTTTTTTTAATGAAATCACACACAACATTAAATTAGGGACTACAGTTTCGACAATTTGCGGTCTTTTCGGCAATTTCCGTTACCCGGAAACCGTTCAGAACTTGTTCGGGAAATCTCGGCTGGTTTCCGTATGGGTCCAAATCTCTCATGAAATTTTGCCATTGGTGGGAATTTGGACCAGCTATAAATAGCTGAAAACAGCGGGAGGGAACCCGATTAACAGCGCATGTCTACGACAGCCGGACGTCCTCTGTTTTTCTGTTAGTCATCAGTTTGATTGAAAATAGCGGTAAATTCGAGGTTGGCTTTAGGCTTTAACTGTTACTCGTCCTGGTATTGCTGGGTATATTTGAATTCTCCGTCCAATTTTACATTTGTGTATGAAATTTCTTTCTGGACGGTGGCTAGGTAGATGTACAGTGACATTTTTCAGGCAATCGCTGGCTCAGCCAGTGGCTAAGTCTCATTGCCTGCCATCTTGTCCAATGACAGTCCAATGTAAACAAAGCCGATACATAACTGCGCAGTAGGTTGCGCAGTAAAAAACTTCTTGTTTCTGGGTCACAAGTTTTAGCGGCTGTTTCTTACATCTCATCTCCACAAAACCTACATATCTCAGCTCAGAAATGACATACAAGCCTAAATGAGGTACCATTGGAAAGAAATTGTTTATAGCTATCTAACTGTGCTGGTTTTATTGGTGTAGAGGGCATTTTAAAAATTTTACTGAAGTAGCTAATTAAATGCAAGATATAATATACAGATCAATAAAGTCATGATTTTCTGAAAATAATTGTATATTTAAAATATCATTACTAACCACAAGAACATTCCAAAGTTGAAAGTTCTTTTTCTTTGTCAGTCTTGAGTGAGAATGGTATGTAAGCTTGAGAAGAGACACCTTTACCATCAAAGAAGGCAGAATCCTGGGCTGGATTTTCTTGACTCAAAATGTGTTGCTTTTGTGCCTAAACAATTGGAAGAAAAACAGACTTGAAAATACTTGTTTATAAAAAATATGGTGAGTTCTTAAATCTTTTTATTTTTATTTTTGGATTTTTCTACTTCTATTTTTTGCCATGAAAAACTAAGGCTTTAATAATAATAAGTGATACATTTTGCCCCATTATAATATATATGGTTTGCAGGAGAAAGCTTGACAACAAATCAGCAAAGCAGTTAATGATGAGAATGACAATTTAAAATATAACATTATCTTGCCCCTGTCACTGTATTCTGACTGTATATGAATTCACATGTTTCTACTACACATTTATGTCAACAATTTAATGTAAACCAGTTTAGTTTCACTTACTCCCTCCCATCCACCCACACTCACACATATGCTCCTCATAGAATATGGGTCACAACACAGCATGCTGCAGGGCCACTCCATTCATTGCTGGGCCACTCCGTACCTTGCTAACATTTTGACCATATGCACATTTATGCTTAAGGTCTCTTTGACAACCTGTGTCCACAATGCTGAACATCTGTGGCTTCTGCAAGGAACCATGCCCTTCATTACTGATCTCCAACCATTATGATGTTCAAAATGAGTATTTTAGTTTACTAGAAATGGTGTCCCCCCCCCCCCCCCCCCCCCCCCCCCCCCCCCCCCCCCCCGCCCCCCCCCCCCCCCCCCCCCCCCCCCCCCCCCCACCCAATCAGTTGACAGACTGTTTCCCTTTTTTTGGTGTCAGGGATAGTTGAAGAAAATCGTTTATCCCATCCTCTACTTCAATTTTGTCTCCACCATGGCCCAATGTTTGGTCATTGCCTCCAACTGCACCTGAGGGTCTAAATAGACTCTGGGCCATTCCAACACCTCTCAAATCTTATCAATGAAGCTTTCACCCCCCCCCCCCCCTCTTCCAACTCTCAGCACCCAAAAACAAAACTATGTGGCGGAGGGAGGTAAAGTAAGCGCCAACTGTAGGAAGGCTGGTCTAGGAGATTTGAATGATAAAATTACTGCCCCCCAGCAACCCCAATGGGACTGTAGCAACCACAGTCTGAGACATTGATTTAACCAGTTTTGCATATCTGAGTTCTGGACAGATTTGCTTCCAACTGTAAGTAATCTGAAACTGGTAGCGCCCACAGTAGGAAAGACCAATACACTATCCTGGGTCCCAGCTTTAGTCATAATTAATTGTAGTCATACTATCATTATTTTTTGTAAAGTTAAAGCGCTGAGAAAAATTAAACTGAAACAATGAAAAGAATTACTGTAAAAGTATGAAAGGAAATAACAGCGAAATAAAGTTTCTTTGTTTTTGTATAAATTAACTTTTCAAGGGATGTTAGAGAAGAAATATGCAAAAGGGTGCGACTCCAGCGAAAGTTAACTTTTAGTTATTGTGACGCTAATTAAAAGAAATGTGAAAAATGTTTTACCACAGATTTACTGTTACATTTACAATCGCAGCTTAAATGAAATCTGAAAATGTGTGTCTACCATTGATCTTTCACGAACACTGATCACTGTTTAATCAGTAATGCTTAGTTAGTGATTTATTTGATTGCATATTTTTTTTATATAGATTCTACTTACGCCAGGAGTTTCACTACGTCATCCTCTTATATTAAAATTGTCATCCTTTTGTGGAATGCAATTTTTCATTATTTTGAAGCCACACTCTGGCTCTTGCTTGGGGCCGCAATATAGCCCCGCCATGAATGTGACCTAATGGCTGAACGCGGTTCCCTGGACCTTCCCACAGGTGATCCTCATCCACATGGTGGCACTTTGTGTCATCGGGTGTTTATCACTTGTGTGATGTCCTGGTGGGGTAAAATGTACTACTACTACTACTACAACATCCCCCTGTAGGATGCAATGCTTCTTTATTTGAGGCCCCACCCTGGCTTTTATTTACCAGGGGCCCTGGATATAGGCGGACCATTAGGCCTAACGGCTGAAAGGAGTTTCTGGGACCTCTCCATGGGTGGGCCTCATCTGCATGGGATGCACTTTGTGTCACCATGTTTTTATCGCTTGTGTGATGTCCTGGTGGGGTACAATTAGAGAGATGGAGAGAGAAGTTTAATTCAAAAAAGCTACTTTAGTCAGGCAGAAAGGAAGAGACAAAAGCAAGCAGAAAAATTAAGTGTGGAGGAAACTGAAAGTACATTCGAGGATAAACCAAAACCTCAGGTTGCGACTCAAGCAGGAAGTGCGAAGGCTTACTCTCTATATGATGAGGTGTGTACTCTTTTGCTAACCTCTACAGCTGAAGAAGACCGAAACCGAAAGACAGAATCTCACACCTCTGATTCCTAAAAGGAAAAGAGGGAACAAGACAAAGAATTCAACAGGAGGATCAGATCTACATTGCTAGACCCCTGTCGCGAGACGAGACGCTGTGTCAAGTAGACAAGATATCTTGACTCACCTACCACCCCTTTTTGACCTTTTTGTTTTTCCCTCTTGGCTATGTCAAGAGTGACGTCATTGTTGTCAGAGAAGACATGGAGGGATAGCCCTATTATATACAGGTGCTGTTAGGAAAATTCCCAGTTTTGCTAGTTTGCAATATCCCTCCATGGCACTGCCCAGCACTTTCACATATAGAATTTGCTGCTAGCAAATTCGGCAATATTGCTGATAAAAAACCTGGCCACCAACAGAATCCTGCTGGTAGATAGGATTGCTGATTATTGACTTCCGGCCGCTAGCAATAGAGAGACGAGAGGCAGTTTTGAAAAGACAACTTTAACTCAATAAATGCTGGTTTTTGTTTTCAGGATAGATACTCATGTGATTATCTCACTTATACACAGCCTTAATAAATGCTGTAATGCTGATAACATACAGTCCAAGAAAACTTCACACTGGGAAAATGTCTTTTCAGCACCACAAAAGCTGGTTACAAACCAGAAATTAACCATACGAGATATCTGAAAAACAAGAAAGCTGTCCCTTTTATCTATAATCATCCATTTTTATAGAGATAATTCTACAGCATTCTGTCCGACTTTGTGTTGCATTTATAACTGCATATTGCTGTCCGAGCTGGAGGAAATATGCACTAATACACTATTATCATGAAGGACAGAAGATGGAAGACCTTTATCTGGACTGGACAGTGGTCAGAAGTGGAAGCTATGTAAATAAGCATGCTATGAGACCATTTTTCCACTTCTGACAATATGAGAGAGATAAAAGAGTTGGGAATATATTTTATTCTGCGGATAATTAGGGACTATACATTTTGTGATTGTCTACATCCCTAACAGCTGAAAAGCCAAGGACAGATTGCTTGTGTGCAAGGACGAGCTTCCAGAACAATGCCAGGCTGGTTATAGGTGAGGACTGAGGTGCCCCGAAAAAGGTCTTGGTATCTCTTGCAGTTGCAACGTTAAACAGCAATTTTGGATGAAGATCTTCTGGGAAACATCAGGTGGTAAACATTGTTTGTCCCAACAAATTCTCATGAACTCTCTCATGATGACCGTTTCACTTGACTATTATTTTTATTTTTCATGAAATCTATTTAGTTTGAGTCTTGTATTTCAAAAGAAAACAGATGATCTTCTTCTTCAGCATTTTGAGCCCTGGAGGTTTATTGCTGCAGATATCACCCACCTCCATTCATCTCTCTGATTGGCCTTCTCTTTCCATTTGGTGGCAACAAGTGTTTGCAAATCTGTCTGGACATTATTTCTCCATCGTCTTCTTGGTCTCCCTCGTGGTCTATGACCATTCATCTCCCTTGTGTATAGTTTTCACTTCTCTGTCGTCTGACATTCTCTCAATGTGCCCCAATCATTTTGGTCTATTAGCTTTCATGATGCCAGTGACCAGAGGTGATTTGAACAAATAATGAATTTTGTTGTTGCTTCTCACTCTTCATTCCCCACTGTTTGCATCTTCAATAGGTCCAAAGATTTGTTGTAAGACTCATTTTCGAAAGCATGTAATAAGGCTTCATCTTGTTCTCCAATTTTCATAGCCATATAAAACAACTGGTCTCATCAACATTTTACATATTTCAATCTTGGTGTTGCGAGACAGACACTTTGACTTTAGCAGATGTTGAAGGGCATAGTATACTTTTTTCCCAGATTAAAGTTTGCACCCAAGTACTTATATGTTTTTGTTCGTTTGATTTTCATATTATCGACTTGCATGTGGCCAGAGTTTATATCCTTTCCCCGTCTAGTTATTATTATGTATTCTGTCTTATCTTGACTGGTAACTAGTCCCACTTTCTGAGCTGATTTTTTTAAGAGAGTCAGTGTTTTAACAGTCTCTAGTTAATTTTCTCCAACGATATCAATGTCATCTGCATATCCATGTATTCTTGTATATTCTCCTATAGTACACTCTCATTTCAATTTCATGATAACTTTCTCCAGAGCCAAGTTGAAAAGAAGTGGGGACAGAGCATCACCTTGCTTTAAACCAGATGTTATTTGAAAAGGGCCTGACTTTTTGCCTTTATAAATTACTATATTACAAGTGTCTTCCATACATAGTTAGGTCATGATAATTATCATCTTTGGTATTCCAAAGTCCTTCATAGCATTTCATAAACTGTTTCTGTTAACACTATCATACGCCTTTTTTAAAAATCCACCCAAAAATTATGTATACCTCTTCTGTACTCCCAATTTTGCTCTGCTATTCATCATAAAATGAATATCTGCTCTATTGTTTTGTTTTGTTAGGAAACCCGTTTGGTAATCTCCCAATATGTCTTCGACGTATGGTTTTAGCCTGTTTAGCAGGACCGCCGATAGTATCTTATAGCTTGTAGATAATAGTGATATTCCTCTATAATTTTCACTTATGCTTGTCTCCTTTCTCAAAAAGAGGTATTAATAAAGACACTTTCCATTCATGGTGTAATTTCTCTGTCTTCCAAACTAGTTTTAATAATTCCCTTATCTTTATATGTAATGCATGACCACCTTTAAGTTCAGCAGCAATTCCATCAGCACCAGTTGCTTTATTGTTTTTAAGCCGTGCTATGACATACAGCACTTCTTCAAAATCAGGCTCTTCAATATTTGATTCACATGTTAATATCTCTTACTGTGGATAAGTATTAAGTGGAGTTTCACAGTTTAACAATTCAGCAAAGTATTCCTTCCATCCGTTAGATATTTCATCTTTTTTTATTTATCATGTTCCCATTGTGATCTTTTCAACTATAAATGCTTTGCTGATGTCCTCATTTACAGCCTTCAGTTCTTTAAAAAAAAACTTTTGGATTCACTGTTCTGATGGTTTGCTTCCATATCCATGACAATGTTATTCATGTACTCTCACTTTTTTGTGCCTAACTACTTTTATAGTTTCTTTACATTTTGTTATATATTTTTCTTCATTTTGTTTGTTACTAGTATCATTTAGCCAAATTTGCCTGGCATGTTTTTTCTTCCTGACAGCTTCTTCACATTTTGTATCGAACCATTTGTTCTTTCTGTTTATGGTGGACACACCAAGACATTCTTTTGCAGTGGTTTGAATAATATTCTTAATATTCATCCAGGCTTGGTCAACGTCTTCCTCTGATGGAATTGTAAAATTTCAGTGTTATGTTTTAATTTCTGCAAATTTCTCTGATATGGATATTTCTTATAATCTTTCTCTATTGTACTCTGGATGCGATCTTTGTAACTTAGTGTAGAAGGATCTGTTTAACTTGATTTTTAATTTTGCAGGTAGTGGTCACTATGACACTCAGGTCCTCTGTAGCTTCTAACTTGTTGTGAGTGGAATAAGGAAATTCAAAATACTTTATCTGAAAGAAATAAAGCAAGAATATTGCTCAAAACTGCACGTTCAACAGAAGCAAAGATCCAATACAATAAAGTATGTGCTAGAGTAAAGCTTGTAGTTTATAAAGCTAAAAGAGATAAATGGTCAGAAACTTGCTCCAACTTAGACCTTAGACAGAATGGAAATAAAGCATGGACTTTAGTTAAAAACCTCTCCATAGAAAGTAGAAGGGTGAACCTAAAACCAGTGACAGATGGGAGCAAGACAATCACTGAAGACAAGAAGAAAGCAGAATATTTCAATCATTATTTTGCCTCAGTTAACAGAGCAGGTAAGTTGTCAGAACTTGATAGAACACAGCTCTCTCAGTTGAAGAAACAAGAGAGAGCTCCAACAGCCAGCAACTCCCTTTTTGAAGATGAATTTAGCATGGATGAATTAGAACAAGCCCTGAAGAAATTTATTAAGAGGTTTATGGACATATGGCTGGCCCTGATCCTAATGACAGCCTTAGCCACCATCTTCAGACTTAGAACACAACATACTCCACTCAGTGGACATCTAAACAGAATACAGCTACAACACTCCCCAGAGTGCCAGCTATTTAACTACCCCTACGAAACTGTTGAACACCATCTCTTTGAGTACCCAAAACTCAGCAAGACTAGAAGAATGCTACTCCCTCCGAGACCAGACAAGTGGAACACCTTGTACAGAGGAAAAGAACAGCTTGTGAAAACATGCAAATTCCACTACATGGCACTGGGCCAAAGGGGCGAAAGCTCATGCGCCGCTGGATCGATAACAACAACAACAACAACTAACTTCTTGTATGTTTGATGCATTTCTATTATTTATTAAAATGTGTTCTATTTGATTATAAGTTATCTTGTCACATGATTGCCAGGTTTGTTTATACATATCTTATGTCTATTTTTTATTTGAAATCTGATACTGCTTATCTGTAGTCCTTTCGCTACAGCGAGGTTGATTAATCTCCATCCATTATCGTTTAAATTAGTATGTAGGCTTTCCATGCCTGCTACATTTGAATAGATGTTTTCTCTTCCTATTTTTGCATTGAAATCTCCTAAGACAATTAATATGCCTCGTTTTTTAGCTTTATCTTCTCAAGGATATTCTCAAGGAGATCATAGAATTCTTCTTTAATATCTTCTTTATCTTCAGTGGATGCATGCACATTAATCATCATGGTATTTTTCCATTTTCATTTTATTCATAACTTACTGATCCTATCTCTAACAGCTTCAAAATTTATAATACTTTCCCACAACTTTTTCTTGATAACAAACCCTGTCCCTAGTTCATTTTTGTTTTGAGCGTTTCCTCCATACACTATGATCATTCCATTTTCCTCTATGGTATTCTGTCCTGCCATCTTATTTTTTGAATTGCTGTTTTATACATTCTGTATAACCCACGGGTCAGTTCTTTAGTTCAGTTCCGAAATCAAGGCTTAGATATCTGTTTCGTGACGAGATTAAGTTTTACAAAGGTGGGAGTGTCAGCCCCATATAGATGATCAGTAAATATCAGAACAATGTGAACTATAGCTCTGATTCAATTAAATAATCAACAGTGACAGTACTTTGAACAACTACACAATATATCATCTGGCACTAAAGATTTTGATTTGATTTGATTCAAGAACCGACATCACAGCACTCAGGGCATTCCCATAAGCGCTCCATCCCCATCTTCAGCAGCCAGCGAAGAGTTTCAATACTAATGGTGCCAGTAGCTTCCTGATTAAACGTCTGTCTTGCCTTTCCTCTGAGCCTCGAGTATCTGCCAGAACCTCTCGTCACCCCCAACTGCATCAATCTCACCAGACTGTGGTGATCCATCTGCTCCTCCGAATTGTACACGCTCTCCCACAAGGCACTAACCACGTCTGCCCTATCATGTAGCAGTATTCCACCAAGTTGTGCAGAGCCAGCCTGTCCGCCTGTTTATATCCCAACACACCGGCAGAACCGGTGAAAAAATCCAGACAATACTCCTCACTCGTGTCCTCCGCAGCGAAGCATGTCACTCTGCACGAAGCCTACCTGTTCTGATCTTCCTCAGCATGTTTTCTGAATCAGTTACAACCACGATGTGTGTGTGTGTGTGTTGTGTTCTCTAGCCAGCAGAAAGCGACAGTGATCACCTCCACCTCCATTCTTAAGATGGATGTTGTGGTATCATATGCTAGGCTCTCCTGCACCAAACGTCGACCATTAACTTTTGCTAAAAAGCCCTAAGCACTTCTTTTGCCTCTTGACACTGAACCATCTGTGTAAATGATCAAATCCTCTGAGCGAGCATTATCTTGAATTAATTGCTGAATTTCCACCTCTGTGGCACCTGCTGGCCAGTCTCTGCATTCCCGGCTCAGCGTGATTATGACTCTACACAGGTCTGACTGCTCAGGTGGAACTTTGACCCACTCCTCTCCTCGCCTAATGTTCTCAAGGATGCAAACCTGTCTGATTGTGTCTTCTGCCTGAGCCATCCATGACCTCCCTCTTATCAGCCGCTGACCCTTAACTGCACTCAAAGCTTCATGCAGAGGGTGGTTGGCACTAAAGATATCAATGTGGATATCATTCAGGAATTAGAATAAGACATACTGATAAGCATTAGCACCGATTTTTGTACAACACAGGATACAATTTTATTTACTATCTTCAATCAAACTTACCCTGGTCTTATTTTGCCTCTTTAAAAAAAGCCAAATGGTGTGATTAATACACATGTCTGTCTAACAAGTGGCTTGAATTTTTCCCACAATAATTACTAAAAAAAAGCACATGTCATTTGCTTGACTAAAATGAATTTATTCAAGGTGTCTACAAATCACTGCGTATTATCAGACTGATAAATTCTCTGCATGGTAGTTACTAGGACAACACAGATCATTTGCTTTATTGAACTGTAAATGTGTTCATGTAAAGAGCTTAACTGACAAACATCTGCAAAGCTAAATTCACAAGAATGCTTATAAATACGCAAAATGTGAGTTTATAACCCCATCAGCCAATCTTGTAAAAATGTATGACCTTATGCGCCCAGAGATAATATTTAAGTAGCATATGTGACATGGCATACGGGACAGCAAACAATGTGGGCCAATCAATAAAACAGCTGGTGTTGGTTGCACACATTTTGCAGGTCTGTCACTGTGATAACAAGAGCAGACATGTGTTTGCTAGACATGTTCAAGCATTACATTTATAAATCATAAAAAACTGGCAAGATAAAGGTGCTTTTTTGTTTTTTTAAACAAGGATTTTTCAAACTGTTAAATGTCTGATTGTCAACAGTGTTAAATCACACTGCTGTGAGTGAATGTGTGAAAGTGAATCCCACTAGGACTGCACAATGAAAGATTAACATCCGGTGACACAAAGTGCCACCATTCAGATGAAAATCCCCCAGATGCAAGTCCCAAAATCTCTACTAAACCATTACATTATTTTAGGGCCTAAAGTTATAAAGTAACCTAAAGTCCAGCCTTCTTCTTTCTTTATGTCCTCTTTTACCACTTCAGGTGTCGAGGGAGATATAAGGTTCTGCTTCATGCTCCTTAGGTTGCTTTGACCATAGGCACATTGTGGGTGTTGTAGCATTTCTCTGATGTTATCTTCCCATCTTGTTCTTGGTCTATCTCTTGCTCTACATCCCTCTCCTCTTTTGGTATATGCTTTGTATTGTATAGCATCAGAAAGCATTCTCTCCAAGTGGGCGAACCATTTAATTTGCTGAATTTGTATATAATTTAGAATTGGTTCTGTGCCTAAAGGGTTAGGATATTTTTTTTTTTAAACAAAAAAACTGTACTATGAATCAATTAAAGAAGTCACAACACATGATGACTGCATTAAAAAGATATTTAAAAATTTGCAAATCATAATCTCCCTCAGACTATTTTCATTATTGTCCTTAAGTTACTAGGGTATACACACGTTCACTCTTCTACACAATCACAGGCTGCCCAACTCTCTTCTTCATATATTTGCTGGTCTCCCTTTATTTCTTTGGGCTAGTGGGTTCCAGTTTAAGGACAATCTACTTCTTCCTATAGTCCACACTAGCTGATATTGGTTACAATGTCTGCCCACAGTATTTGGTCTCATATAGCACCAATAATTACTGACACTATTATTAGGTTTTGTCAAGGTACACCCTGTTCAGTGCCAGCATCCTTTCCTCATTTGTTTGCTTTTAATGAACTTGTTTAGATATTTCCCAAAGCTCTGCATTTATAACTCTCTCATAATATTTAATTGTGTATATTGTCATAAGACACCTATTAATGAATACTGGTAATTTAATAGTAACTTTCTTTTAGTCATTCTCCATGTTTCTGCTTTATACAGCAGTCTGAGTTAAGTATTCTGTCTGGTTTAAAATAAAATTGAATTTAGTACACTTTCACAAATCCTACATATTACCATTTGCACAGGTCAAGATAACAAGTGATTAATAAGTGCCAATCATGGACACTTGTGGCCATCTACTCTTCCTTCTTCTTCTATTGTCCTACTGCTTATGCCATAAAGTGTCACCAAAATTAGTTATTGTGGTTCCCTGTCTTCTGCTAGTTGTGTCGTTATCATCACCATCAATTTTCATTCCTGCCATTAAGCCTTGTTACTGATAAGTGATTTAAGAATCCACATCATAGCACAGCGGGCATACCTATAGATGCCCCGTCTCCTGCAGCATATGACGTAAGGTGTAGATGCTAACTCTCCGTCTCCTGCAGCATATGACGTAAGGTGTAGATGCTAACTGTTTCCGCAGCACACTGGTTATACACATGCCGATCTCTTCTTCTCATCCATCCCTCCTTCCTTTCAGGATCCACACTTAATTCCTCGTTCACACATTCTTGCCCGTGTTTTTTCATCTTCTACTAAAATTTGTTCATTTATGGTCTTCAGAATATCTCCCTTGTCCAGTACGAGTGTTCCTGTAGGGTTTGATTGTGGAACTGGAAAGATCACCATATCTAGTAGTCAGCTTATTAAACTAGAAATCCTTATAAACGAAGCCATGCAGGTGATTCTGCGATGTAGCGGAGATACCCCAGTTATATGTATGTGATTTATGCTTGCACTGCCGACTTTTGCAGATAGGTGGTTCAAAGCACTGCAAGCAAGGCCCTACTTTAGAGTCTTTGCAGAAACTAAACATCTCTTGCACAAAGCTCCAGACAAAGCTAAGGGTCATAGACTGAAAAGAGGAAGGTCTTGGATGGTGCAGGCAGAAGACACAAGTAGAACCTATGTTAGTTAGTCTTTCCTCTTGTGTCGAGTGCGGCACATAGGGAAGAGGTTATGACTCTCCATGCATGGCGGTTCGTTGCAATCCGTTGTAGGTCTTGGATGTTTGAGTGGCCCATGAGCGAGCCTTCCCTGATGATAGTTCTACGTAGGGTTTCCCTTGGTCTTCCACGAGATCTTTTCCCCTGTGGTGTCCAAATGAGGGCTTGGTAAGGAAGTCTTGATTTATCCATTCTAAGGGCGTGGCCGACATAGTTCCAGCGGCGTTTTCGTATAAAATTAGACACATACTCTTGCCTGGATTCTTGCCTTATTTGTGTATTTGTTCGGAAATCTGACCATTTGAAATTTAGTATTCTTCTAAGGCATTTATTTTCAAAACTATCTAATTTATAACCTATGAGCATGCTTGAAAACGCTTAGCTAGGAGATAAATGAGTCAGAGTGGATGACAATTAGCACAACAAAACCTGTCATATGATATCACAACATATAGTTTGGGAATGGAGGTAGAGGCGGTCACACTTTTGTTAGCTGCCCCACACATGGTGTGACTGTAACTGACTTACAAAGCATGCTGAGAAAGCTGGAGACAGGTATGCTTGGTGTAAGGTAGCATGCATAGCTTCAGAGGTCCAGGGTAGTTAGCATCCTTTCCATATTTTCTCTAGGGTGTGCAGGTGTGTTAGGAAGATAGACTGGCTGCTTCTGCACCATTTGGTAGTACACTGATGCATGACAAACTAGATGCTGTCAAGGCCCTTTAGAGTGAGTGAACAGTGCAGAAAAACAATTATCACGGTCTGAAACAGTCTGAAGAGAGGGGAGTGACTTAGAAGGAATGGCAAACAGACCGACAATCCGACTGTTACTGGTACCATCGCAGCTGGAACTCTCTGCTGGCTGCTGAAAGTGAAGATGGAGCACTTACGGGAATGTCCTGACTGCTGCGATGTTGGTTCTTGAAACTCAACTCAACAATTAATAATAACACCTGCCATAAGTTCTTATATGGTGTTTTGCACTGAAGAGGTGAAAACATGAAAACTTTTCAGGTGTGAGATAATATTACCAGAGTAACAGTAATTGTAATGATTATCTGCTGTTTTACTGCTTCTGCCTGGAAATGTGGACAGTCTTTCTTTATCATTAATGTTATTGATGCTGCTGAAGATGGACCACAGAAATATTGGAGACAATGAAAAGCACTATATACGGAAACAGAAGGGCCCGTTTCAGGGATCTTTTTCTATGGTGAGACATTGCAGGAGTTAAAGAAAAAAAAAGAAGTTACTGGTGCCTGATTTGCAAGGATTACTTAATTAATACTAGCTGCAGTGTGAAAGAAATTCTTTGACTGTTTGTCCTCTGCGTTAATGTACTACATGACAAAAGACAAGAAGGAACAGGAACTTAGCATGCACTTTTGTCTGACAAGTAACGAATAACATTCCCACCTTGGACTGAATCTCTGTGGTATATTTTATATGGATGTTGCTACCCAGATAGACTGTTCATTAGGTCATTGATCTAAGAGTTGCTAGGACACCCTCCTGTTCGAGATTCCATTTATTAAATATATGGACAAAGCCAGATGCTGTTTTGCAGTTTGAATTAAGGGGTGGTGATCAACCTAGTTATCAACTTGTTAGTGATATTTACTATTTACTTTTCATTGCACCTGTTGAATTAAGCAGGATAGATCTAAGACAGTAGGAGGTTCTTAGTAAATAAGTACAGGATCATTCATGCCATCCAGTGCATCTATCTATCTATCTATCTATTGTCTTCTTCACTTTTACCGGGTTGCAGTCCAGTGTCGTAGTTTAAAATATTTGTTTTGTGCCTCTCGTGTGATTTGAGTGACAGTTTTCTGGATCTTCTGGCCGTATTCAGCTACTCCATCTATCCATTTTTTCCTGGGTCTTCCTCTGGCCTTTCTTCCCGATGTTCAACTGTAAAAGGCCTTATAGGCAATCTGATCCGGTTGCATTCTTACTAAATGGCCAAACCACTTCATTCTCTGTCTTTCAATATGTTCCATGCATGCTCTTGTTCCAACTTTGTCTCTAATGCTGATGTTTGTGACTCTGTCTCTTCGTGTATTGTTGGTGACTCTTCGGAGACATCGCATTTCACACGTAGTTATTTTTTGCATATGTGATTTGTTCATTGTCCACGTTTGGCACTGATAACATAACGTAGGGATGAAAATGCTGTTGATCATCCGTTGTTTGGCTGGTAACGAGATCTTTGGATGACGAAGAAGTGGGGCCAGTTGGTAGTTGACTCCATTGGCTTTTTGAACTCTAGCCTGTATCTCTTTATCGAGTCTTCCATCTTCTGTAAATATGCATCCTAAGTACTTGAATTCTTGAACTTGTTCTAATTGTATGTCATTGATCTTTATGTTTACATTACTGTGTTTCTTTCCTATGGTCATTACTTCAGTTTTTGAGGTGTTTATTTTCATGTCAAATTTTGTACAGTTAGTGAGCAATGAATCAACATGTTGTTGTAGTTTTTGTTCTTCTTCTTGTAACAAACATTGGTCATCTGCAAAGAGTAGTTCATTTATAATATCTGTGTTTTGGTTTGACTCCTGTGCAATCAATTTTATCCATATATGTGATGAAGAGTAGGGGTGATAGGACACATCCTTGTCGCACTCCTGATGTAATGGGGAACCAGTCTGTCATACCTTCCGTTGTTCTTACAGCGCTCTGGCTATTTTGATAGAGAGCCATTATGTTTCCCAATAATTGACCCGGTACACCATATTCTTCAAGAATGTTCCATAGTTTATTTCTGTTAACCCTGTCAAAAGCCTTCTCTTGATCAATGAATATAAGATTCTGGTGTTTATTATATTCGATTGTCTGTTCACAAATTTGCCGAAGAGTAAATATTGCATCAGTGCAGCTCTTTCCTTTTCTAAATCCAAACTGGTTGTTACTTAATTGAGGTTCTAATATCACCCTCGCTCTTCGTTCTAATATTTTTGCAAACATCTTTCCTACATAGCTTTGTAAAGAGATACCTCTGTATGTTTCACAATCTCGTTTATCACCTTTCTTCTTCCATATGGGAACTATAATTGCTCTCTGCCAGTCAACGGGAACTTTCATTTCCTCCCAGGCCATATTGAATATTCTTGTCAGCCATTTTACTGCTGTTGCCTTACATGCAAGTATTATGTCTGTTGTAATACCATCTGTTCCGGCCGCTTTGCTTCTTTTGCTTTGCTCTAGGATCTTTTCAACTTCAGATTCTAATATATTAGGTTCTTGTTCTTGTCCAAATTTTATTTTATTAGACACTGGTTCTTGTGGTCCACTATTCAGTAATTCAGAAAAATATTCTTGCCATCTTCTTTTAACATCTTGGGATTTGGTGAGTGGTTTTTTAGCCTTGCTGTTTATGATCTTTGATGGGTTAAATTTCTCTTCTCTCAGTATCCAGTGCATTAAGCATACAATTTCACACTAATTTGTTTATAGATTTTCTGGTGCCCATTTTAGGCTAAATCAACAAGGTTGCCAAGGCCAGTTATTTACAAAAATCTGTCCGTCTGAACCAACATTTTTAGGACAAAAGGCAAGCATCCAGCTACTGTACTAGAGCAGCTCCCGGGTTGTCACAGACAATGAGAAATTCTTATCAGCTGATAATTCAGCGATGTTGAAAGTCAACAAGAGACATCATCTGATCAATAACTTAGGAATAACAAAGCAGCAGACAAGCATTTCTGTCCATTCAATAACACAGGGACTAGAAAAGTTAGAGACAACTAGCCACCCAATTGCCTTGATAGCCTGTCTCCATAGCAGCAATGTCCTGTTTAAATCATTCATCATGCTCAACACGGACAGCTCCACAGTTTGACTTAAAGAAATCCAGATGAGATTAAAGAAAATGAATTTTCAAAGACATGTTGCAGCCAAGACTGTCAAAAAGAGATTTTCTACAATCTCAATGTATTTATCAGATCTGTTGTTTCAAAGAAAATTGTCCACCAATGACTTCGGTGCTAGCCATGCGGCTTTTTCCTTGCCATGCAACACCCAAAGAAACTTCTCATCGTAAAGAAGTTTTTGAATTTGCGGACCAACAAATACTCCATCTCTTATTCTAGCTTCAATCAGTCTGGGAAATTTTCTGATGAAATATTTGAAAGCATCATCTGCTTTCTTCGTGGGTTTGACAAAGTTTTTCATGAGACGGAGCTTAATGTGCAAGGGTGGCAACACAATCTTGCTGATGTTTACATATGCTGGGTTTAGTGGGTGTAGTTTGCTCAAAATCTGGGTCACCCGAGGTTGGTGGTTCGAGTATAAGTGGAAGCAGCTGAAAATAATTCTGGCACTTTGGGTACTGGTAGGACATCGTTATGTTGTATCTGATGTATTGCAGAGAGGATTTTAAGATACTCCAGAGTCCATTTCTTCTTCTTTGATATGCCTTTCCTAATTGGAGGGACCATGCAAAAGTAACAGTTGTTCAGATGATCAGTGGGCTTTCTCCAAATCATTGGGGTTGCAAAAGACATAGCTTGCCTTCTGCCAGTCAACCACAGTTTAAGATTTGCAGCACGTGAATTGTAGCATATGTGTGGTGCCCAGCTCTTATTTTGATCTCCTATTCTGCCGCCAAAACACAAACTGTATGCCTTTTTAATCACTCAAGTTATTTTTCATTTTTGTGAGAGAAATGTTACTTCACCACATACATAAACAAAGTTGTCAGTGCTATTCACACACACCCTAGGCATTTCTAACTATGACAGTACTGTTAAAGACAAAGCTACTAGCTAATAGTAAGATAATATATTTATACAAAATGGTTATTTAATCATAGGTAGGACTGAATCTACTTCTGGTTACAGTTTTACTAGTCATTAGAAAAAAATTTGCAACCCACAACAACAGTTGCAATATATATTTATATATATTTATAATTTGGTCCTAGTTAAGTAAACTGGTAGCCTATATCTTGAAAACTAGAGCCAATGTACATTGTTTAATGTAATTCTCATTTTCAGCACACTAAAATTATTTAACATCAGCTACTTTCATTTCTGATGCATTTTGGTTGTTGACTAGAGTTGTATGTCCATCTTGCCTTTTCTCTGACAGCAGAGTGGGGATCAGATCCCCTGTTCACTCCCAGCTCTTCCCAGCTGTACCATTATCTCTAAACCAAATGATAGTTGATAATAAGTTGACCATTATGTTACATTTCAATTTTTTTTTAAAATAATTTCCTTTCTTGACTCTGTGCAATTGTTTAACTCTACCAGACCTGAGGCCCTGAACCTAACTGTCGTCTATACCTGGGCTCCTAGGCATTAAAGCGAAAAACCAACATGATATACAAAAATATTAATTACATGCAATCAAGTGGTTAGAATAAGATGAAACCTAAAGACATTGTAGAAAATAGGTTTACCTTACCTTTCATCATTAAAATTTAGATCTGTTGTCAAACCTTCATCACCACCTAGATCTCCCCCATCAGATGTTTGAGGGACACGCCCCCCCCCCCCCCCCTTTTTCTCTTACTATCGATCTAGCTCTAGTTTTATAAGGTTCAAGATTCTCCTCATCACTCAAACACTCACAATCTGTGTCACCTGAACTGGAAACATATTCTTGTTGAAATTCTGACTCATCAAAGACTGAATCAACCAGAGTATCGACCATCTGTTGGACTGTGAAAAGCCTAGCGTTACTTCGCCTTCCTTTTGAAGTGTTTGGTTCATCAGCCGCTTCATTGTGAATTTTCTGAGTTTTTTCACATTACATACAGTCAATCCAAACACATGGCGGAAACCAATTGCAATGACTAACCATGAGTTTTGACGCATTTTTTTCATGTAGTATGCACAGTACCGAAAATGAGGTACAGCAGTTTAGCAGCAGATAAGGAAATTTCCTGAAAGTGGTACAGTGATCTGGTTGAGTCAAATATCTCTTTACATTGCCTCAATATATTCTCTCCTCCAATGCGCCATAACATTACTTAATTATTAAACACCATTGTAAGACATAGGGTACAGATTACCAAAGGGACCCCACCATAGATCTGATTCTAAAATGGATATGCATTTCAAAAAAGGTTAAGACCATTGCCCTAGACCATTAGGAAGTTATATAACTCGTATGTGAGTTGAGTTTGACAGACAACTTCCTTCTGCATCTCCAAACAAAACAGAACACATGGTGTTGTTGTTGTTATCGATCCAGCGGCGCATGAGCTTTCGCCCTTTGGCCCAATGCCATGTAGTGGAATTTGCATGTTTTCACAAGCTGTTCTTTTCCTCCGTACAAGGTGTTCCACTTGTCTGGTCTCGGAGGGAGTAGCGTTCTTCTTGTCTCACTGAGTTTTGGGCACTCAAAGAGATGGTGTTCAACAGTTTTATAGGGGTAGTTACATAGCTGGCACTCTGGGGAGTGTTGTGGCTGTATTCTGTTTAGGTGTCCATTGAGTGGAGTATGTTGCGTTCTAAGTCTGAAGATGGTGGCCTGGTCCCTTCTTGTTAGATGGTTAATGCTGTCATTAGGATCAGGGCCAGACATATGTCTATAAACCTCTTTTCCAGTGTCTCCCATGGCCCATCTGTTCAACCAAGTCTCTTTGTTTATAGCTCTTATAAGTGTTTTTGCTGTCTGTAGGGTTGTCGCTGTAGGTGGGACTGAGCCTCGAGAGGCAGGGGGTAAGAAGTGTTGGTGTTGTGGGTAGTGGGTCCCCCCCCCTTACTTCACCCTAGGTCTAGTGAATATCTGTTCACGAAAGGAGCGTCCATTGTGGTGTCAGCCTCTTGACCTAGCAAAACCTCTCTTACCTCAAGACCATTGTGCATGGCGAAGAGTCACAGCCTCCCCGAGGTAGTCCTGGTAACTGGGGGTGCGAATCCCCAGGCAAAACACAATGGATCTAGAGGAGCAAACCTCGATAATAAACCTGGTGCACCATACCGTACTGCCCCCTGTGGGAGGGAAGGAGCCAGAGGTGTGCTGAACAGTCTTAGGAATGGAAAGAAGTATACTAACCCCTCTGAATACCGGAAACTATCGTGAAGGCACAGGGACTCAGGACGTGACGATCCAGTTGCCCCAACTACTCATGCTTAGGCCATGCTTAGAGCCATGAAGAGCTCAGCGAAACCTGCAGGCAATCTGGTGGTGGGGAATGAGCACACTGTGAGCCCCACCTTAGCTACGTGTTAAAGGGAAAGGCAGAAACACAACCCATATTTGCTTTAGAACTGGTACAGGGCATTTCTAGCTGCTGCCCGGGGAGGTAGGTAATCCACAGACACCCCAGCACCACAATGCCATGAACACATGGTGTAAGAGTATATTGCTGCTGTCATATTCATGGGTCTGTGCTATTGACGTGATCTGCATATCCACTGCATATACGTTTGCTGAGTGTGACTGTATATTGTCATCATTTCTTTAGATTAACATATTAGATGTTTTCAGCACACACTTTGTATTCTGATGGATGCGTTTTGAAGAAGCATAGGTCAACCCTGCAACAGTACTCCTTTGTTACAAATAATATTTTGATAAAACCAAACTGCTCACCTTTTGCTGTAAAACTGCCATTATCATAGTACCTGATGGCTCATCATCAATATTTGTCTCTTCTAGGGCATCATTATTAAAAAATGAAGAGTAGGTAGCATCAGTGGTTGCTGAATAGGTTTCCGTCTTGTTAACTGTATTATTAAACAATGTTTTCAAATACACTTCATCCATATGGGCCATAGCCTGAAATAATGATGAGTAAACATTCTTAAAATAATGAATGACAACGTATTCTATAAAATAATGAGAAAAAGACACCCTACCGGTTATGTGAAGCAAATCCTGACAGATAATTTATTCTTCTGTTTGTAAGATTTATACCGTCAATATCCATCATCACATTTTGGTCCTCTTGTACTTTGACTGTTTGTGTGCTTTATAATGAGGGTTCCCAGAGACTCAGTTATCCCCTCTCTCAATCATTTACATGCTCAGCTTGTCTTTTGATTTCCCCTTGGTCTATACACAACTGCTCATTGCAGTACACTGTCTGCTAGCAGTCAAGTTAAATGGCCAAATTATTTCACTTGCTGTTGTCTAATGACATTTGTGCTGCTATTACCCCCACTTTTGGATTTCAGCATTTCTCATCTCTTTGTGCTCTTATTGCTAATCTCATCTCAGTTGTAATTCTTCTTTTCTATCTTTCATGCACTTCCATTCTCGCACTGGAAGCACAGAGTTGGTAAAGATATTGTGTTAAAGAGTGCTTTTATAGTTACTGCTCATACATGTGTTTCTTTCTCAAAGCAGTTCAACTCCAACATTTGTCCATGCCAATGTTCATCTTATTTTAAATTCTTTCTGCTTTAGGGGGGGAGGGGGGGTGTTGAAATTTGTGTTTATTCTCCCAAAAAGTCAATATTCGTCCCTCCTGTGGCGTGACCCTCGAATCACCAGACTATGAAAAAGAAGATGAGCCAGTTTCAAGTGCTGAAATTAGAGAATGGCTGTCCACTTGGCAAAAATGGCAGGTTTTCATCGAAAAACTGCACCCAAACATTGCTACAATAAATAATCAATTTATTTGATGATGAAATTTTCGGAGCCTTCGGAAAATTTAGAAAACAAACATTATTTGATAATTTCTTTAAAAACTGAGTGCTGGTACAATTTTGATAAATTATCAAGACAAGAACCATTAGAAGTGACAGTACCCTATGTCATAATGAAAGGTGACAACAAGTAGCTATTGTTTTTTTTTAATCCAAATTTCTTTTTAAAATGTAATTTTTTTTTATATAGGCCTGGAATATTTTTGTCTTCAGAATGAGAAACTTTTTTTTGGGGGGGGGGGGGGGGGGAGAGGGGGGAGGGGGGGTAGAGTTACCTTTACATATTTTTCTGTTGTTCAACACAGCGCTAGGGTAAAAACTAATTGAAAAATTTGAACAAAGAAAGCAAACAATAGATTTACTGTCTGGCATATTTCGCTGTATCTCGTCAGGCGCATACTACAGTAACAACTGATTAACATGAAGCAAGTAAATGAATCCTTCGAACTGAAACATAAAATCAACTACATTCATGAACTGTCTGTTTCACCAAGGTAACCGCAAGGTGAAAAGCAAGTCTTCTGAGAAGTGTCTTTCCTAATCTTCGCATTTCTATTCAAATAGTGCAAACCATTGCAGTTTTCACTGCTAGCTGCATAAAAATGTAAGGTAAAATGGAAGGCAGACTCAATAATCTTGCTCTACTTAGCAAAGAATGAAAAGAAACTGAAAAATTTGGCTCTGAGCACATAACAGACCAGTCCATATCAGTAAAAGAGAGAAAAATGCATTTATACATTTATAGTTTTAATCTTATGTCAGTAAAGTGTCATTAGTTGCAAATTAAAGATATGTTAACGTGTTAATTGGATATGACAAGAAATTAAAATAATAATAATAATTTACTGCTTTTTAAAAATTATGAAATAGAATATAGGAAACTGTTTTTGTTTCTTTCTTCTTCTTCTTCTTTGCATTCGGTTTTATATGCTAAGATCAGACCATCAGGTGGGTTGACTGAATTCGCATGTCAGTAGCAGGTCCTTCATGATTCCCCATAGTTTGTTCTGCACCCTTTGCTCTTGAGGCCGGGTGTCTTTTCGAAGTTGTAGGTAGAGTGGGCAGGTATGCAGAATGTGCTCAGGTGTTTGTGATCCCATTTGACAGGCACACTGTGGGGACTGTACAATCTTTATTTTATGTATATGGTAGTTGAGCCAGCAGTGTCCTGTTTGTAGACAGAAAATTGTTGTATGTTGCTTTCTGTTGAGTCTGCTAATGAGGTTTTGTGGATGTTTACTGTTGGTTTGTTCTCTCCACAATTCCTTGTAGTTTCCCTTGAAAAGTGTTCTGATTTCTGGTAATGAAAATGGATTGCTGTGTTGTTTCTCCTTTCTTCCATTTTTTGCAAGTCTGTCTGCTTACTCATTTCCTGGTATGCAGCAATGAGCCGGAATCCACTAGAGAACGATTTGATTGTTTTCTGAGAGTCTGTTTGGCTTCCATGTTGACTCGTGGATCCCTCTAACATGCAGTCACAAAGGAAAACAATTTTGCGTTTTTAATTTTCTTTTCTCAAGCACTTTGGCTGAATCAATAATTGCTTGCTGTTCTGCTCTGAAGTTTGTTGAGAGTCTTCAGGAGGCGCATGACGTTTCTACTGTGGTCCCATATTGCAGCATGATGACCGATCCAGCTCCTACGTTTTTTCCGTTCCCTCCAATGATCCATCAGTGTATACGTGTGTCCATTTGGGTTTCGGATAAGAGCTGTAGACATGTTCAAGGGTCTTTGCATGCAGTTCTAGGTCACACTCTTCAGCCTTTCTGTCAATGCCTGGATTTGTTGTGACTGTATAGTTAGACTGTAGGTCTATGCTGTAGGCCTGGTTCATGTCCCATGTTGAAGGATCTTTAGAAAGGATGTCACTGTTTTTTTTTTTTTAGACAATTTTGATGGAATGTGAAAGCTTTGTCTTTTCGGTCGTTGTTTAGTTAAGTTGTTTGTTATTCTATGCATTGAGTTGTTGTTCACGGGTTTACATTTTTAGAAAGGATGTCACTGCTTTTTGTGTAGTACAGTTTTGATAGATGGTGAAAGCTTTGTCTTTTCAGTTGGTTTTTTTCAGTAAGTTATTTGCTATTCTTTGCATGGAGTTGTTGTTCATGCATTTAAAATTTTTTGTTAGGGTAAGCACCTTTTCTTCCCTTTGAAGGCTCAAGCTCTGGAGGCCAGAAGTTGCCTCCAGCTCATTGACTGGCATGCTTCTCATACCTCCAGTGATTATTCTAACAACACTCCAGCTGCGCCATTTCACGGCTCGTCCCAAAATATCAAAATTCCCAATACAGAGACACTCATAGAAGGCAAGCAGCTCACACAGACATGAAAAGCTTGTTGGATACTGAGCCCCACACACACAAAAACAAAAAAAAACAAGAAAGTCAAAATAATCCCTCCCTCGCTTGCCAGCTAGGAAAGAGATGTGCGCAAAGTCCTAGTGTCAGGCCTCAAACAATATTCCACACAGTATCCTGACAACTTCAGAGGATACTGTAGCCCATGAGAAAGGTCATGGCTTATGAATGGAAGGCCAAGAAATCTCATGTGATGACCAGAAGTAGTTGTCTGCGGACACAAACTAGTACGGGACTACAGATAAAAAGCACCAGATTTCAAGGAAAAGATACACATAAACAAATCTGGCAATCATGTGACGAGATAACTTATAATCAAATAAATCACAATTTAATAAAAAATTAGAAATGCATGTAACATACAACAAGTTAAAAGCTACAGAGGAGCTGAGTGACCACCACCAAATTGGCGTAAAACTTCGAATGAAGATTAAGAGATCTTTTTAGATCAAATTGCAAATATCGCAACCAGAGTACACAATTACAAGAAACATCCATTGCAGAGAAATCTGCCGACGAATTGAAATGTAAAATTGAAATTTTCCTACATTCATAAGAGGAAGATGATGACCAAACCTGGATGGATATTAAGAATATAATTCAAACCACTGCAGAAGAATATCTTGGTGTATCAACCATAAACAGAAAGAAAACATGGTTTGATTAAAAAATGTAAAGCAGCAGTCCATTAAAAAAGCCACAAAAGGTAGGCAGCCAAAGAGAGAAATAGTGAACAATACTGTCATAGATATGGAAGCTAACCATCAGAACAACGAATCCAGAAAGGTTTTTTTTTTTTAAAGAACTGAAGGCTTTAAAATGAGGGCATCAACAAAGCATTTTCGCAATAGAAACATGATAAATAATTATGAGGAAATATGTGATAGATGAAAGGAATACTTTGCTGAATGGCTAATCAGTGAAACTTCACTAAATACTTCCACACAAGAAGAGATACTGACATGTGAACCAAATACTGAAGAGCTAATTTTGAAGTTCTGTATGTCATAACACGCCTAAAAAACAATAAAGCAACTGGTGCTGATGAAATTGCAATTGAATTTTTAAAAGAAGGTGGTCATGCTTCACATTTTAAGATATTTGAATTAATATAACTCATTTGGAGAGACAAATTACCCCAGGAGTGGAAAGAGTCATTATTAATACCCATTTCTAAGAAAGGAGACAAGTATAAATGTGAAAATGATAAAGGAATTTCACAGTTGTCTACAAGCTATAAGATTCTATCAGCAGTACTGCCAAACAGGCTAAAACCACATGTCAAAGATATATTAGGTGATTACAAAGTAGGTTTCTGACAGAACAGATGAATAATAGATAAGACATTAATCTTATGGCAAATACAGAAGAGATGTACACAACATTTTTAAAGACTTTTAAAAAGACATATGATAGTGTACACAGAAAGTTTGGAATACCAAATAAGTTAATTACCATGACCAAACTATGTATGGAAGACAATTATAATATGGTAACATATAAAGGCAGAAAGTAAGACCTTTTTCAAATAACATCTTCTTTTTAATTTGACCCTAGAGAAAATTATACGGAAATTGAAAGAAAAGTGTACTATAGGAGAAACTACAAGAATACTTGGTTATGCAGCTGTCATTGGACAAAATAACCTAGAGGCAGTAAACTCTGACTCTCTTAAAAGAAGCAGCTCACAAAATGGGACTTGTTAGAAATGAAGTTGAGACAGAATACATGATAATAACAAGACAGGAAAAGGACATAAAGTTAAAGTCGATAATATGATAATTAGGGCTGTACCGAATAGTGATTTTCACTATTTGGCCGAATACGAATAGTGGGACCAACTATTCGGCTGAATTCGAATACGAATAGTGTATAGTGTATAAAATATATCTATTTTTAAAAAAAACCACATTCATAATGTCAAATGTACGCTGAACTTTTACTTCACATAAAGTAGCACAGAATAGTCATCTTCTTCTTTAGCATTCTGAGCCTTCGAAGTTTACTGCTGCAGATATCACTCGTCTCCATTCATCTCTCTGGCTGGCCTTCTCTTTACAATTTGTGACACCAGTTGTTTGCAGGTCTGCTGGACATTATTTCTTGAATTTCTTTTTTGTCTGCCTTGTGGTCTACGCCCATTCCTCTCTCAGGTGTATACAGTTTTTAACTTCTCTGTCATCTGACATGCTTTCAAAATGCCCCAACCATTTTAGTCTGTTAGCTCTCATGATGCTAGTGATCAATGGCGACTTAAACAAATTATGTGTTACGTTGTTGCTTCTCACTCTCCATTTCCCGCTGTTAGCATCTTTGATGGGTCCAGAGATTTGTCGTAAGACTGTTTTCAAAAACCTGTAATAAGGCCTTATTTCTTTTATTTCTGCTTCAAGTTTCAGAGCCATACAAAACGACTGGTCTTATCAATATTTTATATATTTTGATTTTGGTTTTGCGAGACAGACACTTTGACTTTAGCAGATGTTGAAGGGCATAGTATACTTTATTTCTAGATTGTATTCTAGATTGTATTTCTTCTCTCAGCATGTTGAAGCAGTTGAAGTTTGCACCAAAGTACTTATATGTTTCTGTTCGTTTAATTTTCATATTATTGACTTGGATGTGGCCGGAGTTTATATTCTTTCCATGTCTAATTTGTATTCGTACAGAATAGTAAACATTTAAAAACATTTTATGTTTTGCATCCTTCAGTCAGTCTGTGGTAACTAATAACTAAGAATGAAAGAATCCTAAGTAGTATGACAAGTAACTAAACTTAGAAATTGTCACTGACAGCTTAGTTAATGCAGGAAAGCTGCATTAGCTTTCAACAAAACCAATTGTTCCATGTTGTCAGCATTAAGGCCGTGTATGCAGAAGCGGGTGTAAGGTAACTACTATTCGTATTCGGCCCGACCACAGCTATTCGGCCGAATACCGAATAGTCAATAGGTCCACTATTCGGCCCCGAAACGAATACGAAGCGAATATTCGGTACAGCCCTAATGATAATCAAACGAACCGAAACATATAAGTACATGGGTGCAAACTTTAACTGCTTCAACATGCTGAGAAAAGAAATACAATCTAGAATACAAACTGGAAATAAAATATACTTTGCCCTTCAACATCTGCTAAAGTCAAAGTTTCTATCTCGTAACATCAAGATCTAAATATATGAAATGTTGATAGTACCAGTTGTTAACATGGCTTTGACACTTTGAGCACAACAAAAAGAGATTAGGCCTTATTACAAATTTGCAAAAATAGTCTTACAGTGAATCAAACAAGCAAACAACAGAGAATGGAGAGTGAAAAGCATGAACAAAATTCATAATCTGTTTAAATCACCATTGATCACTGGCATCATGAGAACTAATAAACTGAAATGGCTGGGGAATTTTGAGAGAATGTCAGATGACAGAGAGGTCAAAACTGTATACACAAGGGACCATGAGGCAGACCAAGAAGATGATGCAGAGATAATATCCAGACAGACTTACAAACACTTGGTGTCACCAACTGGAAAGAGAAGGCCAACCTGAGAGATTTGAATGGAGGTGGGTAATATCTGCAGAGATGAACCTCAAGGGCTCAGAATACTGAAGAAGAAGAAAAGATACTGTTAAAGCAGTTACAAATTAACTATAAACATTCATTAACTAGTGCCTGAGAAGTACAGAGGGAATTAAATGGTATGATAGAATTACTAATGTTGAGCTTTGGGGAAAAGCTAAACAAGTTCTAGTGAAATAAGAGTTGGAGAAAACATTCTGGCATTGGATAGGACAAACGTTGAAAAACCTGAGAACAATATAACTAGAATGTCTTTGCACTGGAACCCACAGGGGCATAGAAATGAATGAAGACCCAAAAACACATGGAGAAGGGAGCTTTGAGTGAGGTTAAATATATGGGAAGGATATGGGGAGAGCTGCAGGTTACAGCGAAGGATAAAACAATTCGGCCTGAGTTGGTTGGGGGCCTATGCTCTTTTAGAGGAAGAGAAGGCAGAAAAAGAAGAACATCTTTACTACAAGATACTGCTACTTCAAGCGGTATCATAACAGAATGCTCAGTTCAATAAAACCGTTTCCACATGTAATAATATCTGTTTTTAAAACGAAACAAACCTTGTCGATATCAGTTACAACTGTTGATCTGCCTGGAGTGGAAAGGGCAGTTGCAGTACTTTCAACAGAACGGCACAGATGTGAAATTTCCTTTAATGACCTCCTTTCTCTTTGTCGAGGATTTGTTTCTGGTGACTGAGAATGACTATGGGGCAGTGTACTATCCAGGGTTCCAAGACTATTTTGAGACCAGTCTATATAAGTGTCATCAAGAAGAAGAGAAATATAAGACAAACAGTTATTGCTAACAAATAAATTACATTTTGTCAGAAATAGTTCACAACAGATGATAGGTAGCTGAGCTAAGATGTGCCTGGTTGCTTGAAATGCTATCATGTTATAAAGTCTTAGCCTGTCAGTGACTCCTTAAGTTCATCTTCTTCTAAGTTACCTTCTGCTTCTTAGTGTTTCAATTTTCATGTTGTGTGCTTTTGCTAATGGCATCACTGGATTCTTTCTAAATTCTTATCAGGTGGCAAAACCATTTCAGTTATCAAACCCTGTTTGCTGATATACAGTTTCTAATGAACATCTAATAAAGATTTAAATTTACTTACACGTTTTTTTTTTTTTTTTTCAGAATTGTCACAGCTTCACCTTTAAAAATGCCATTAGGAGATGGATAAACAGCACAGTATACAACCAGCCTAATACCATATTATTGTGTCAGTTTTTTCTATAGTCATTCTCATTTCTTTTCAGCTTTGCCCAAGTTTTTTGGGTGTCCATTGAGTCCGTTACTTCTTTTGTCATGGAAACCATTCAGAAAAAACCCATAACCAATGAAATCCAGGAAAAAAATTTTTTTTAAAGATGATAGGTAATTAATACATTAAAACAATTTATTATGTAGTGCACAATACAGTATTTTTTTTTTTTAGTAACCATATTGTGACTTTGTTCTTGCTGCAATACAGCACTTCTTCTTCTTCTTCTCTTCCACCTTGTACCTCATCGAAGTGTCGGGGGGAGATGTAACGTTCGTTGATGAGCTCTGTCAAAAGCACTATTAAGACTGATGTTTATTACTGTAAGGCTGGTCTTAATGCCATCACTCCATATTTTCTGAGGTCTTCCACTCGATCTATACCCGTTGTAAAGTTTAAGTGTGGCTCGCTGTGGCAGATAGTACAGTTCATTCTTGTTAGGTGTCCAAACCACTTCATTTGTTGTTCTTTGATGACTGTAAGACTGGCTTTATTTCTAGCATTCGTCTGATTTCATGATTTCGTATTCTCGATTTTCCTTGAAACTCCTGCAGCTCTTCTAAGGCATTTCATCTCTGTTGTCACAATTTTACATTCATTGGAGGATGTAAGTGTCCACGTTTGGCACTGATAGCATAGTGTTGGCCAAAAAATAGTTCTGATAAGATTCACTTTAGTACTCCAGGGTATCTGCTTGTGTGTCAACAGGGAAGATAGTTGCCCCAATACTTAATTAGCTTTTGTACATCTCGAGCTAATTTCTCTGTCCAGTTTTCCTGTTGGATGTGAAAATTTCTCCCAAATACTTAAATTCCTCTGTTTGTCTTAAGATGTTGTTTTTTAATTTTATTTCTAAATACAGCACTAAACATGACAAACCAAGAAGTTTATGGTGACTTTGTTCTTGCTGCAATACAGCACTAAATATGACAAACCAAGAGGGACTTTTAGTCACCATATTGTGATTTTGATGATCTTCCTCTCTGATGTCACTAAAACATTATCTCATTATTAAGTCTTGTGTATCCAAAATGTCCTGCATGTCATTATGAAGTTTCCATGAATACTTCACTATGCCCATTCGGAGACTTAATATCAAATAGTTAGGGTGACCGTATCATTTAATTTTCATCCCCGATGGTCTTGATGGCCTGTTACAGCATCTAGTGTGGCACATGAAAATGTGTAATACAATATATACACAGCTGCTGCAATCACCAAAACCCTTGTAATAAAACAATGGCTCTCCTGACAGAAAAATAACATTCTTCTTTGCAGATCTGACACTAAATGAATCAATTGCTCGATTTAAGTTTTTACAAATTCACTTGTAGTAGAATCTTAAATACCTCCATTTTCAAGTGGGCATGCAGGAGGCAAGGGATATATTAGTGTTGGCGATGGTGAACGACTTAATATGCTGTGGTCTATTTGCCCGCTCAATGGATCCTGTTCACATAGCTTTGCCATTGCATCTGACCTGGGAAAAGAAAACAATCTTTGACCATCTCTAAAACAATGGGATTTCCAAGGTTAAGGAATTATGCTGTTCGTCTTGTGGTCATGGGTTTGTTTTATGGACTGTCATTTGGTGCATGAGTGCAATTTTTACAGAAATCACTAGGAATCCTTGATGCAACTACAGTGTGTGCTTTGTGTGGCACTCTCGGCGGCTGGCCGGGTGTTTTATGGACAGACCAAGCCATATAGTATAAAATCAGGTCTAGTCAAGTCCATCTTCTAGACTTTAAACCTTTTGAATAATCCCTAATTCATTTTTTTCAAAGAAGAAGAAGCAGAAGAAAAGAATGGCAAGCAATTACTGTGTAAAAACAATAAGAAGAAAAAAAGAATCCAGAAAGGGGTCTAAAGTTTTTGGTTTTCCCATACTCTAAGTTAGGCATGATGTGATAGACTGACATGTTTATTCTTCCTTATCTCCTTTCTTTATCAGACCATTCCCAGGAAATTATGTATATTACAGGAAATTATGTAAATTAGCCAGTACTCTAGTTATTAAGGTGAGTCAAACCTAAAGCTATACTAATTGGAAACCTAGACTGCAAACACACCAACCACTTCAATTACCCTTTTAATGAACAGTGTAAAATTACACATCAATCAATGTGTAAACATGTCTTTAACATTTAAATAAAATACTCTGTGGTTTCAAAAGCCACTGGTCTAAATTCTCTTATACAAATGAAATTTTATGCAAGAGTCTTGGTAAGCATCAAATGTGATTAGTTTGTTTCTAACCATATGCCTTTCAAAACACAAAGGAAATACTAAATATTTATTTTACAAGGAGAACCAACACCAGCAATTTTTCTGCCTGTTGTGGTTTTTCTAGGCAAACATCCAGTAGTTTGCCACAGCTTTTTGGATGGTCAGCTTCTTGGCACCCAAACTCAAAAAAAAAAAAAGTTCCGTCTCCAAAGGGTTAATACTGCTCTTGACAGAGCTCATCGACAAATGTTCCCCCCCCCCCCCCCCCCCCCCCCCCCAATCTGGGGTCACTTCACTGAGGTACAGTACAAACTACAAAGTGGGAGAAAAGGAGAAAAAGAAGACCCTTAGCTCTACCTACCCAGTTTTACAATCTGTAAAACAACTATTTACCCCAAATATAAAATATAGACTACGAGGGTTACAAAAAAATACTACTGGCATAAATACAAAATATTACTATTATTAATTATTAAAAAACCAAACAACTCAAAGTAAATTAATTACTTCAGTGTACACACGGCAACCGATTTTCTTGTCTCGGTGGAAAGTAACTCTGTTTTCAGCTTTGTTTGTCATTACGGAGTTCCTGTTCCTTTTATACGTCGTATTTTTCGATGGTTCTGTCGGGAAAGATATTTAGTTGATATTTATCTCTCCCCTCCATCCAGTCTCTCTCTCTCTCTCTCTCTCTCTCTCTCTCTCTCTCTCTCTCTCTCTCTCCCCTCTCTCTCTCCCCCTCTCTCTCTCTTTCTCTCACTGTCCCCTTCCCTTTACCCCCCCCCCCCCCCCCGCTGTCTTATAGGCCTGAGTTATGAATTGGATTATCCTCACAGCACTCCGGACATTCAAGGGTGTTCAGATTCTCCCCTTATTACTCTATATCCAGTTTCGTCCTTATCAGGACGAAATTTTTTGTCATTTGAAGCCCTACTCTGGCTTTTGCCAGGGGCCGCAATATAGGCAGACCATAAATATGGCCAGATGTCTGAACGCGGTTTCTGGGACCTCTCCACGGCGATCCTCATCCGCATGGTGGCACTTTGTGTCATCGGGTGTTTATCGCTTGTGTGATGCCCTGGTGGGGTAGAAAGTCAGTCAGTCTCCCCTTAAACATATTTGTTAGCGTCGCGCGGTTAATAATGCCAGTCCTTTACTAGTTGACAAAACTTCTTGTTTGCCCGGTGTGCCCACCATGCCAGTTTTAACTCGCGATTTTCGTATTCTTGGCAGTAATGTCGGCCTGATCGATAGGCCGGCATCTGCAACTAATGCAAAACCTGCCATTATGTCAGGTCTTTTACTGTCAACCACACCTACATCACCTCGGACAAATATGAAAGTACCTGCACACACGGGAGACTCTCAATGAATCCCGAAACCAATCCACCGAATCATGCTCATAAAACCACTCAGCACACACACGCGGGAGAAATCATGTGATTGTTGCCACATGAATGCTTGTGTCACTGCCATCCCCTCCATCAGTATACTGCAGGTAGTCATTGCACCACTGGCTTCTTGTATTGTTCTGCCTGCAGAGCGAGATGTAAGTGCCCTTAAATTCTTGTGTTTTCCTATAACGAACCATGTGTAGATCGGCACATCTGTCTTATCACTGATAAGCGAGCAGCCCTCTAAGTTCACAGCAACGAGATGCTGCTCCTGACAACTTCTGTCAAACGTGACGAAACAGCAGAATGTGCGCTTGAGCAAAGCCGTCTTTAATAGTGCCTAACAACTAAATGACGTCACAACTTTTTGAAAGGAGTCCCTCGGAAACTGGTTACTGGAAGCCCTCTCCATGTGTTGCATCGTGTGACATTTTAATGTGCCTACAAAGTTCTGTGTTCTGAATGTATTTGTATTACAAATTATCGACAACCGGATATTGTGAAGTGGATATACACGATATTGCTTTCATATTGACTGTGCATAAATAGTACTGTGGATAAATAATGTCAAGATATTTCGGAGCTCTTTTTCAGTCTGTTGCTTTTCTAAGGAGCATATGGTGCACCGGGTGCTTCAGATCAGAGTTTATCTTCAGGTATACGCGAGCCCTCCAAATCTTGATCCTGTAGTTCATGGTAGGGAAGTCAAGAAGGTATCTCGTGATACCTAGAATAATGCGCTTGTCTTCGTTTTTTACCTTTCCAAGTCTTTGAGTCAAAGTGTGGCAGAAAATAAGAATGGCTAAAGCATATTTCAAGAACAAGACCCCAGAAAAGAAACTGTTTCTGCTTAATATCGGTTATAACAAGTCAACATGTTCTGTGAAGGGTGCGCTGGGATCAACCCTCACCCTTGGGTATCATCAGGTTTGTCCTCGTCAAAGCTCCGTCGCTACTTTCTAATGCTGGTAAGTCTGCCTTAACTATATGCGTGTTTAAGGAGAACTATGCTACTCAGGCCTTTGAAGGGTTGACATGTGAATAGTAAATGCCGAGGAAATCCATATATTCTTTCTTCTTAATGTATTCTCTTTTTTACTTTTTGTATACTTACCAATGACTTTAAAGAAGGAAAAACGATTCATACCTCCCGAGGTGGAGGTCAACTCCAGCTCCGGTGGTTTGAGGCTCGGTCCCGTGATGCGGGCTCAAGGGTCGGAGAAGGTTCGGGGAAGGTTGTGGCCGAAGGTCACGGTTGTGCCTATGTGTCCGTGCGGGGTGGAACAGAGGGTTTTCACTGGTGGTGCTTACTGTAGGTAGGTGGGACTGGTGCCGTTTTATTGGTTATATAGTAGAATAAAGAAAACTAGGGGTATTGCATTTTGCGAATACATTGGACTGCCAGAATAACTAATAATGATTGCCAGGAAATGGCTAATGCAGAGAGAACATTATATACAACAATGATAAGGAAACGAAGTTCTTTGGCCATGTGATGAGCTAATGAACACTGGAGAATATCTTAACAGCTGGAAAGATAACTGAGAGTAAATGCAGAGGCAGATCAAGAGAAACGATGGTGAATGGCTTAAGACAGTGGGAGAATATATTCAGTGGAATTGATCCTGAACAGTAAAGACCAAGATCTGTATAGATGTGACACTTGATCGTGATGGATACTGATTGGTTACATATATAAAGTAGAAATATATATTTAAAAAACGTTTTTAGAAACTGTCACTACTGTTTGTTTTACCACTTGTTAGGGCGATGTAGACAGGGGATGGAAGGGCATTAAGCCGGGGATTTAAGGCTGTCTGGCTACTTCTGTCCCCATGGACTCTGCAGGCTAGGATGTTTCATTTTGCATCTGAGAGAAACAGATATTCCGTCATTATTCCGTCACCAACAAATATGCCTTGGGAGGTGGGTGCAGGAGTCATTAGTTTCTCTTAAGTATATTGTTCTATGACTTTATAAAGAGTAAAAATTAAAAATTAGAGTAAAATGGAGAGTTTTGATCATAGTTTTGGATACCGGTGGATCACTGAGGGGTGAATTTGTTGTGTCAGCTAGTTAATCTAGGTGACCTCAAACTGCCGAGCCCTTTCGGCAAACTCTGTGGATTTCCTGGGTATATACTACTCATGTGCTTTTCATGACCTTAATTAATCAAAAGTATCAAGAGCATGTTGTTCGAGCTCTGTGTAGTACTAATTTTGATGTGCGAAGACTGCGTGTAATGCCAAAGAAAAAGTACACACATGTCAGCTAGTTCGTCTGTGCGGTGTAGCTGTTGTGGTGGATGGTAAGGATGATACATATCTGGCTGGCACCAACATACATTCTAGGATTAAATGTATCGAATCATCAAAGTTACAGAATAGGGACCAGCTAGTCTCAAAGACTTGGTGCTGTCATTGTCGGACCAGAGGTCTAGGTTTGCCTGTCCAAATAAACGGAAGCAGTTGGTACAGAGCACAACCCTAGCCATACACTGTGACCTGTCGGGCTTTACTGACTTAGAGACTTTGGAGTTCCTCTAGTTACCTCTCCACAACCTACGTCAGCAGAGGTCGAAATGAAGAAAATGCAACATAAGATACTGTATACTGTGAAGTGGTCAGAGATGTCACTGTCAGATGCATGGCAGATAAAGCAGTGAATGGCAACAGAAATCAAGATTTTCTCAGCGGCCTGAGTTTCATCCATACTAGTAACAAAAATTGACAGTGAACGTTCCCTGTCCACATAAATTGGAGCATTGTCAATGCAGGGAAGCGTCGATAGATAAATCATTTAAAATAGGTTGGGCGCTATGGGGCATTGACTTTTTTGGGATTCAAA